GTTTAACAGTAATCGTGAAGCGGAAGAGGGCCGCGCGGCTGCATCCTCTGTTGGTTCGGCCCAAGCCTTTTTCGAACGAGGCCGCCCGAAGTCTTGCGCGGCCTGGATGCGCCAGGCTGCCCAGGCGGCGACTCTGCTGGCCTTCCACGCGTGCGGCGCGTGGCTGAGCCAGCGGTGGCTCGCGCCGCGTGCCTGCCCTGTGCCGCCGGCGCCTGCGCCTCGCCCTGCGTCGCCCTTGGCGGCGCCGGCCCCAGCTCCGCCAGCGCGGAGGTGCCCGGCGGCCGGACCGCCGACCCCCGCGCTGGCCGAGGAGCTGTGAGCGGGCTTGGAGCGGTGCTTGCCCGTGGCGGCGCCGCCGATCGAGCTGGTGCGCCCTGATCCTTGCCCGGCGTGCCCCGAGCCGGTCAAGAACGAATTCTCCTGAGGTTTCGAGGTCTCGTTCGGCTTCCTGTCGCTCCTGCCGTGGGAGCTCGCCTCGCGCTGCTTGAAGGCGGCGGGGAACGCGATCCGCTGGGGCTGCCGCCGGCAGCCGCTGGCGGGGATCGAGGCGGCCGAAGGAGGACCTGGCCACCTTGCCGGCTGACCTCGTTCGGCGAGTCGCTGGTGGACGCGGGCGGTTCCCTACGGCCAACCGGTTACGAGTGCCAGAGATGAGTTGTTTGTGGAGTAATTACGACGTGGCAGGGCTTCCATCACTTCACGGACGTGTGGTGGTGGGTATCTTTGGTGTGGACGTTCGCCACGCAGGAGTTGTATCGCCCGACCACGACCTCTTCGTCAACTACTTCCGCCGATAACAATGACGACATCCGACACTGGTACAGGGTCGGCCCAAGGGCGCGCGCTCATCCGCGAGGCCATCACGCCGCCGGCGGGGGGCTGGCTCCGGGGCTGGCGCCTCCGTCCCTGCAGGAGGCGGGGCCGGAGGCGCTGGCGTCGCGCCTGCCGGAGCGGTTCCCGCGAACGCAGGCCGGCGCCAGTGCGGCTGGCGGCCTCGCTGCGCTCCTCGGAGGGGGCGCCGCCCCTGGTGCAGCCGCGCCTGGTGGCGGCCTGGCCGCCCCAGCCGCCGCGACCCAGGCCCTGGCGATGGCTGGGGGCCTGGCGGCTCCTGGCGTCGGCGCGGCCGCCGCAGCTCCCCCCGCTGGTGGCGCAGCACGGCTAGCGGCAGCGTTGGCAGGTGGCGGAGGCGCAGGAGCGGGGGCTGCAGCTGCCCCCGCCGTGGCCTCAGCGGCCGCAGACGCGCGGAACCTGGTGGTGCTGTGCGACGCCAACGGCCGGAGGCACCGATCTTCCGCCTCAGCCGTCGAGATCTTGCGCGAGGTCGCCTTCGTGGACTGGGTGGTGCCCGGCCCGCGGACCTTCCACTGGGCGGCTACGTACATGCTCGAGAACGGCGGCAGCGCCTTGGGACACCGCGCGCAGTGGAAGTCCATCGTGCGGCTCGGCCTCGACGATACCACGGTCTCGACGCATCGCGAGTTCAGCAAGATCTTCGAGACGGCGCAGTGCTGTGACCAGCTGGACGGGACGAACTGTGCTAGCCTCGAGTTGGTTTGCAGGCAGCTCCAACTTTGCGAGGAGTGGCTCCACGATCGAGTCCTGGGCATCAAGAAGGATGGCATCGACAGCCGCGACGGGGACTACGCCACCTCGTTGCCCTCTCTCGTCAAGCGCTCGGTCTCCGTCACGCGCTCTGACTTGGACGGATGCGCATCGACCCACCTCATCCTCGGGGTCCGTGGCTGACCTGTCCACGAACACGCACCCCTGGAAGAAGCTCAGGGGCGGCCTCCTGATCCAGATCACCTCCACCCTGCCTCTTCTATCATGGGTCTCTAGCCACGCTTGCGCCACCTCAGGAAAGAACCCTCTCGCGAACTTCTCGCCTGCCTCCTCGCTCTTCTCCAGCGCCCTCCTCGCTGCCCTGTGCACGGTGCTAGGGCAGATGTCCCTTCACTCGTGCACCGCCGCGTCGCACCCGCAGTGCATGCGCCAGAAATTCCCTTTCTCCCTCTTGCACCTCCTGGAACTGTCCATGACCGCCATGCCCTCGTCGAAGAGCCGCGGATGCCTCCACGTTGGGCCCCCTGTTGCGCACCTGAGCGCCCTCTTGTGCTCGATGCCCCAGGTCTCGGACTCCTCCCGCTGCAGCTCCCCGATGTGCCTCCGGTGGTCGGGCCCTCTCCAGGCCGACCTCCGCCCGGGGCGGGGCATGGCCTGCGCGCCCGCCGTCCAGCTCGCGATCCTGGCCACCGCGTCGCTGACCATGGCTGGGCCCAGCCACCTCGTGTCGAGGACCTGCCCCCGTCGGCAGCGCCAGTTCGAAAACCGCAAGGGACCCACTCCCTGCTCTGGCCGTCCTCAGGGCCATGGCGCCCGCTGGGCTCCTCGCTCCTGCCCACGGCCGCGGGCCCTGGCGGGGGCCTTTGTGGGCCCTGTTTCTCGGGCTCGCAGCTCCATTGAAGTTGTTATTTGACTTAGCGGGATGGCGGCTCGAACGCCGCAAGCCGCGTGGAGCTGCCCGCCGAGAAAAAAAAACGGTTCGAACCCGGCTCGAAACTAGGCGCGAAGCATTAGCCGACGCAACAAACACATGTGCGTTTCGTGCGAGATTTACGCATGACGGTGGGCTGGACGAAACAAACGAACTGCGGGGGGAGCATATGTTCAAACTTCATGCGCTCCTGGTTCGTAACACGAGGGAAATGTTCGTTGTTCGCCGGATGTCTTCTCACATCTAGTATGGAGTTTGGTTCCAAATAGGTTCGAGGCAAGCGAATCGTTCGGGGCATCCTTGCAGAATAGATGGTTTGATGATTGATTGTGGGTGCACCCGTTGGTGCCACAACGTGGCGTTTGCACAGGATAGTTGTGCGTTCGTCTGCACCCCTCGGTATTTCACCGCATCGTGCATCCCCCAATCCCAGTCCTCCTACCACTCCATCCTCCCTTCTCTGCCATCTCCCTTCCCTCACGTTCCTCCCTTATCCTTCCCTGCATCCTCCATGCCTCTCCCCCTCGCCCTCCCTCCCTCCCATCTCCCTCGCTCCCTATTTTCCGCCCCGAACTGCCGCACATTCCCGTCCCCCTCCGCTGGACCACTACGCTGGCGTGCCAGCAGAGAGGGTGCGTCGGCTGTGGTTATTTTGGGATGGTTGGCATGCTGTCCGGGAACTTTGCGGCATTCGCTCTCGCTTGCATGTCGGATCAGGGCATGCCAGAACGATGCTGTTCAGTGGTCTCCTCGTGCGCCTCGACTTCAGGGCCCCGGGCCGCGTGCGTCGACATATTCGGTCCACCAGTCCGCCCGCCGTCAACTTCTGCGAGAGATCCCAACGGGCTGTGAAGATGATAGCCTCGGAGGCGGAACTCTCGTGGAGCCGCTTCTTGCTCAAGCTGCCAAGTTTCCGCGAGAAGATCTGATCACTGAGGCGCAGCATTGCATCGCACCTGGACTACCAGCGGCCACTGGGCGCAGGATTGATTTCACGGCGTGGGCAAGGCTGCGTCCCCCCCTCGTCCTCCAGGCCTCGGAACAAATTAGCGAACACATGCCACATTCATCCGTCAACGCCTCCCCCTCCCCCCAATGTTCAAAGTTGGCGGTGGGTCTGATGAGGTGCACTTCGACCGCAGTCTCCCCCGCGCGTGCCAACATTGAGTTTGGGGGAAGGGGGAGTGTTCAGTAATTGTTTCCCTCTACCGTCCCTCCCTCCTCGTCCTCCCCTCGGCAGCCAGGCGGGGCCCTCTCGCCCGCGCCCGCGGCTTCGCGCGGGACGGCGGGGGCGATGGCCCCGCATCGGCCGCGGCCGCGAGGGGGCCAGAGGGGCGATGGCCCCGCCGGCGCGCCCAGGAGCTGCTCCCTTGCTGCTCTCGGAGGGGCCTCCTCCTCCTCCTCCTCATCCTCGAGGGGAAAATACACACAGACACAATTAATCGTCGACTCCCAGGAAAATATGGGAAAATATGGGAAGTGGGCGGGAAGACAGAAACCCAGAAAATATGGGAAAGCCTGGGGAATATTTTCATTTGTGCGTATTTATTTGTGTGTCCTTGGGCCCCTTCATCCTCGTCGATCCTCGGGCTCAAGCAGTTTTGGCTCAAACCGTTTCGGCCCAAGCCATCCTGGCTCCAGGTGACCCTGTTGTGTGACGTTCACCCGGCCCCTGCGGGGGAGGCACACGATGCCGGTTTCTTGCGTATGCCGGCTTTCCGCGCGCGCGATGTGGTTGGCCCAGCCTGGGCAGGCGTCAGGGGCGGTTTCTGCGGCTCTGGCGGGCGGCTATCGGCGGCATCAAAGGCGGCTTCAGAGGGGAGCCCGTGTGCGAGAAAGGGAAGAGCAAGAGCTCCCAGGGTGATGCCAGGGATAAGGATAACGTCACGCCTCTTGGTCGAGGTGTTCTCGGCCTGCTACCGGCAGCACCGGCACCCCATACACAGGTTGACGAGGACTCGGACAGGGAGTTTTTCGGGCGCATGTTCAGGGAGTTCCGCGAGGATTTCACATCGTGATAGACGGATCCGTCGGAGGACCTGTCGAAGGTGAAGGCCACGCAGGGCGTGCAGGCGACGCATATCGCATGAGTGGAAGGGCACGGCAGGTACTTGATTCGAGTCGATCGAGGCGGACATCTTCGCGATTCGGGCCGAGCAGGCACAGCAACAGAAGAAGATGCTGGAGCTTACGACAGCGCGTGCTCCGGCACATGCTCCTGCGGCCTCCCAGAGATTCGCCCCGTCGTGGACGTCCGCTCCGAGGTGGCAGCGGGACACGTTCGTGATCCCCTCGTCGAGGTGGAGTGTGCGCGACAACACCTTGGACTACCAGCCTGAAACATACCCCTATCCCTATGTTTGACATCATCTCACCTCCATGCCGATCTTAAGGATGCCCTCAGTTTTTGAGGGCCTGTCCCTAAGATTGTCCTCGCTTTTTGCTCGCCCATCTTAGGGATAGGGGTACGTTCGAGGCTGGCTATTGGAGGCCAAGGGCAGTCGACATGTGCACGGAGGTGGGCACCACAGGGGACGACACGGCGGGGCCCGCCGCCGAGGCGAAGGTCAACACGGCGGAGGGCGGCAGGGAGGCAGCCAGCAGGATCCGAGCGCTGCACAGGCCAGCCACAACTGGGGGCGCTGTGGTCCTTATCCCCCTGGGGGGCCCATCGATTTCGGCACCCCTCTCGAGAGACCGTCGACGCGATGGGTTCCCCCAGGGGGGTAAGGACCACAGCTCCCCCAGTCATGGCTGGTCGGCTGCAGCGCCCGGGTCGCGGCGATGTGCCAGTTTGGACGGGCCAGGTCGCGCCACGAGGGAGGCGCGGGCGCCAGCGAAGGCACGGATGTCCATCACCAGCGCCGTGCTGGAGGCCAGGCAGGGCAAGGGAGGGGAACCCGTCTTCTGCGACAGAGCCCGGGGCTTTTACATCTCGGACTTGCTGGTGGCGAAGTTCTTCGGCGGATCGACGCACTGGGTCCAGGCACCGTTCGCCAGCGAGTGGAAGGACCAGCTGCAGGAGGCGATCGAGAAGGCGCTCTCCTGAGACCTGATTCCGGAACTCATGGTCGCCCTGAACGTCCAGGGCCAACGCCAGTCATGCGAGGACACCTCGGAATTGATTTGTGGTTTGGAACAGAAATGCTGAGGCATTATCTGTCTGATCGAGTGTGAGCATCGGCGAAAGGCTGATTAGCACGATGGTGTGCTGCTTCCATTTGGCAACGGTCATCGTAGGCTTCGCGTTTATCCAGGATCCGGCTCTTTGGCGCTGTCGGTGGTAAACCACGCAAATATAAAGACAAAGGTGAAAAAAAACGTTGTGTGCGGGACATCGATTCGGGTTGATGTTCTTGCGCATGTTTTGAGACAAAAGCAAATGCTTGCACGTTCGTTCTTATTCAGTCATCTTGTTCACGACGCTGCTTCTGAGGATCGCCTCTCGGAGGTGGTGGCGACGGCTCGTCTCCGTCCGCGCGGTGCTTGTCTGACCTGGCTTGGAGACACGGGCGCCGATGCGTTCAAGCCGTGGCTGTCATCTTGGTCGCAATATACATTCGGGATCTTGGGGATATCGGTCTTCAGCGTGTTCCGCCTTGTTTTCTTCAGGCCGATGTTCGATCCCACTGCTCTCGTTGACCACATGGGGGTCAGCAGTAGGCGGCGAACTTGATAGACCACGTTACTGTGCCAAGGCTTGGTAAGGCAGACCTGTTCGTGCCTTGGGCAGGCTGCCCAGGAGATCACGAACGGATTTCCGAGGACGGGGCGGTTGTTTCTGGCGCGGCCGAACATAATACCCTGGCCCGCGGGAGTTTGTCCGAGCTGATTTGAAACAGATGCCGAGTCCTATGAAGATCGTGTGCCACGACTCACCCGAGAATACGATTTCCTCTGTTAGGGGCCAGTGTGTTGCTGATCTGGCACAGGAGACCCAAATGAGTGGCACGGCGCGGCTTCGTCGCTAGCGTGGTGAGCCGCTCTGGATTAAAGAACTTCGCCGTCGTGTGCGGGTGTCGTTTTCAGATGCTGTTCGCATGCAGCGGCGCAAGGACCTGTTGAGAGTGTTGGAGGTTTCGCGCCAGCAGCGGGAGGCCACACGCGTGGCCGACGAGTTTCGCAGCGGGGGGAAGGCTTGGGTTCCTAAGAAAAGCTTGCCTCCGGCACTGGGCCTCAGGGTGGGCTGGGAGGTGGTGATCGATCCAGAGCGGCGATGTAAGGAGGTGTTCAGGGAGTATCGAGACAGATAGTCGGTGCCAACTGCGGAGGCTGATGAAAACATGCATCACTTACGATTCCTGGGATTACTAGGAGATGCCTCGTTACATGTTGACGACCACCTTGCATAGCCTTGTCCCCTCGGGTAATAATGAGTACTCCCTTTTCGGCACTGACAGTTTGTTTGCCCTGGCCAATGCAGATTTGATCTGGGGAGGGGGGCGGCGAGGACGATCTTGATTATCGCAGGGAAACGTTGCGAACCGAAGTTGCTATCTTCTTATGTTGGCTAACAACATCATCAAAGACGTGTGGCATGGCAGTGGGGGTCTCACCGTTTCAGCTTTCGCAAGCCACGAGCGTGTGGCAGGGCTATGGGATTCTCATCGTTTCAGCTTTCCCAGGTCACGTACGCGTGGCAGGGCTATGGGATTCTCACTTTATCAGCCCTTCCCGAGCCAGGAACGTGTGGCTCGACCCTCGGATTCTCACCATGTCAGATTTCCCAAGTCACAAACGTGTGGCAGTGTTATGGAATTCTCACATCTCTCAGCCCTTCCCAAGTCAGATATCGAGGAACGCCAAGGACCATCATAGCGAGGATCTATAGGAGCGCCCAGGATGATCATCATCCTCATCCTCAGCATCACCATCATCATCATTCGATATGCCGGGAACGCGTTTATAACCCTCCTGGGCCCAGATTTGATTATCCGCAGGGGTTTAATAATAGGGGCACAGAGTTATATTGCAGCGCTCGCCAGCATTCCAAACCAGTCCAGTATTGACGTGTTCGGGGCCTCGGTTGCCGCGCTCAGAAGAGCCAGCTGGCTAGGTAGAATCCGGCCGACGGTTCTCGAAGCGATCAGGTCATCGGAGGTTGGGGGGTGAGATCGCAGTGGAACGGAGGCCCCCAACGGGGAAGTCGTTTCGTTTCGTTCGTGTCGTGCGGCGAAGTCAGGAGACATGATTTTCCCCCGTCCGTCCGTCCGTCTGGCGGTGGCCCTAGCAGTGTCCCGCGTTGTCCCGTGGTCTCCCGTGGTGTCCCGTGGTGTCCGTCTTTGCTAGGGCGAAGTCAAGACCAATGATTATCCCCCGTCCGTCCGTCCGGCGGTGGCCCTAGCGGTGTCCCGCGGTGTCCCGTGGTGTCCCGTGGTGTCCCGTGGTGTCCGCTGTTGTTAGGCCGAAGTCAAGACCAATGATTCTCCCCCGTCCGTCCGTCCGTCCGGCGGTGGCTCGCGGTGTCCCGCGGTGTCCCGTGGTGTCCTGAGGTGTCCCGTGGTGTTCGCCGTTGCTGTGTCCCGCGGTGTCCCGTGGTGTCCTGTGGTGTCCCGTGGTGTCCGCCGTTGCTAGGGCGAAGTCAAGACCAATGATTCTCCCCCGTCTGTCCGTCCGTCCCGCGGTGTCCCGCGGTGTCCCGCGGTGTCCCGTGGTGTCCCGTGGTGTCCCGTTGTGTCCCGTGTCCTGTGGTGTCTTGTGGTGTCCCGTGGTGTTCTGTGGTGTCTCGTTGACTGAGATTGAGATCGATAGTGAGATCGATACTGAGATCGATGTGGTGCCCCGAGGTGTCGCGTTGTGTCCTGTGGTGTCCCAAAAAGTGAAATCGATAGTGAGATCGATAGTGAGATCGACAGGTGTCCCGTGGTGTCCCGTGGTGTCCCATTGAGTCAGATCGATAGTGAAATCGACAGGGTGATCGGTAGTGAGATCGATGTGGTGTCCCCAGGTGTCCCATGGTGTCCCGTGGTGTGCCGTGGTGTCCTACGGTGTCCCGTTGAGTGAGATCGATAAGGATATCGATAGTGAGACCGATAGTGAGATCGAGAGGCGCCCCGCGGTGTTCCGTGGTGCCATGGCGAGTCCCGTGGTGTCCCCAAAAGTGAAATCGATAGTGAGATCGATAGTGAGATCGACAGGTGTCCCGTGGTGTCCCGCGGTGTCCCGTTGAGTGAGATCGATCGATAGTGAGATCGAGAGGGAGATCGGTAGTGAGATCGATGTGGTGTCCCAAGGTGTCCCATGGTGTCTCGTGATGTCCCATGGTATGGTGTCCCGTTGAGTGAGATCGATAGTGAGATCGATAGTGAGACCGATATTGAGATCGAGAGGTGTCCCGCGGTGTCCCGTGGTGTCCGGTGGTGTCCCGTGGTGTCCCGTTTAGTGAGATCGATAATTACATCGACAAGTGTCCCGTGGTGTCCCGTGGTGTCCCGTTGAGTGAGATCAATAGTGAGATCGATTGAGTCAGATGTTGGTTCCCCCCTCTCCCCCCCCCACAACATCCTTATCACCCGAAGGGTGGTCGTATAGGTATAATTTTGGAGTTCAGTGTCTTTCACAGCATGCGTGGGGAACAATGCCAAACAGCTCGACGTGCCTTCGCTGACTCGTGTGATGGTTCCCCAGCCGATGACATCTCAGACGTGCCATGCGTACTTGGCGCGGGCAGCCCTTCCGCACCTGGATGCCTTCACAGACGAGCGCGATCTCCGGTGTCTTTTTCTCGGGCGTGGGCAAGTCCAGGACATCCTCTCATTACAGTGGCGGGTGCGATCGAGGTGGCGAACGACAGGCGCGATGGGGTGGTGGCAGCCATGGGAGACATCACGCCTCATCATGATCGAGGGAGGCTCCACGTCGCGTTGTCAGTGGGCTCGTCCTCGGGCGCCCCGTAGATAGGTGCTCCAAGGAAGGTGCCCAGTTCCTGCCTCCTGCTCGTGCACGGCTGCCACTTCGAGGGCCTTGGGGTGCTCCTCGCGGGTGCGTCGTCCGCCTCGGTGATGGCGAGGGCGTCGCTTTGTGGGCGCGACTGTGCATTGCCGGGTGCGCCGGGCGTCCCACGGGCTCGGCACTGTGCCTGTCGTCGAGGAGGTTTTTTTCGTAAATAACCCCTTGGAGCGGCAATCTCATTCCATTACTCTTCGCCGCGTCCGTGGACTCGGCAACGCAGTTGAGGAGCAATCTGGAGGCTGCGTTGGTCCAGCTACGCAGTCTCAGCATCAAGAGCGATAGCGGGATGGTGTTGCGTGCGTCGCCGGTCATTTATCCAGTGACTGATTTCCAGGACGGGTTCGGAAATGGTTTTGGGGATCGTGCCGGCAGTGCAGCTTCTCGGCCCCGTGCTCGCGTGCAGCGGCGACCCGGCATGCGACATCCAGCGAACGAGATCGGCCACTCTGAGCGTGTATTGGCGGAACAATTGGGTCCTGGCTAACAGGATGCTCAGTTTCAGGCAGACGGTGCAGAAGCCAGATCGATGTGTATGTGATATGTTGCGTGCGCGGCCTGCATCTTGGAGCGCGTCGCAAGCAGTAGTGGTCGCCTGACAGTCTCCAGTTCAAGATTTTGGGTTGGATGCCGCGGCCCCCCCCCCGATCTTCGCGAGACCCCCGCGCAGTTCAGCACTAGAAGGCCAGGGAGATTCAGGGCAAAATTCTGACCCCGTGGTTCCGGGTTTGTTTTTTTTGTTTTTCCGTTGTTCGTGGTTACCCCACCTCCAGCGCCATAGTGATTCGATGGTTAGGCACGCCTTTCGAAAGCAAGATATTGAATGGCTTAGCTCAGTCAGGCGTGTCTGAACGTGCGGCTCGTCACCTGCTCTTCGCCTTGGGTGGCAGGGACAGAACGACTGACTGATCGACGTAAGTTTTTCTCTCGCTTCCAAGCTTGTTGTCGCCAGTCACCGCTTCGATGAGCGCGCCACCCATCCGTCCATCGATCCTCGGGGCCCGAGGGTCGCTATTGCCTCACATCTCGTTTCGCTCTGCCTCCGGGAAGCTCGCCTGCCAGTTCTACGCCAGGCCCAGGATGGTTCCGCTCGTGAGCGCGTCTCGGACATCTTCGCGGCGCTGGGCACCGTCCCTGCGCGCTGCTCGCTGGCGACGACGCTGGCGAGGGTCCTTCTCTACGGGCTGCTGGCGCGCGCGACCGCGTCGCATCCCTCGGTCGCGTTGCGCGACGTGGTCGACGACGTTGGAGGCCAGTCGCTAGGGGCTTCGACGCACGAGGTCCAGCAGCTGGGCCAGGCGGGCAAGGAGCTGTTCGGATGCAACTCCTGGGAGGTAAAATTCTGATTTAGCCCTGGTCCGAAATCCGGCTTAATCCTGCTTAATCCCGCTTAATCCTGTTTAATCCCGCTTAATCCTGCTTAATCCGGCTTAATCCTGCTTAGTCCGTGGCCCATTCCGGCGTAACAGCTCCCAAATGGAGCTGAATCCCATTTAATCCTTCCGACGAAAACCTCCCAGTAGTTGCCTCCTAAGAGCTGGTAGACGGTTTCGCCCAGCTGCGCCTCCTGCTTTCGGCGCGCAAGACTTGGCACCTCGCCTCGCCGCAGCTCGTCGCTGACGGCCTCGAGAAACGTGGAAGCCCCGCCCGTTCGCCAGGAAGAAAGTTGCTCGAAGCCTCGGGCTGGACCAGAGCGTCGGCCAAGCGAGGCGGACCCCGACAGTGAGAGTTCAGCGCGGAACCCGCGCTTCTTTCAGGGTTTCAGCGCGGAACCCGCACTTCTTTCAGGCAGGCTGCTCGCGCTGCGCCGCGCCAGAGCGGCCGCGGGCCATGCCCAGAGGGCCGAGCCCCAGGCCCTCCTCCTCTTCCTCCTCCTCCTTCTCCTGTTCCTCCTCCTCCTCCTCCTCCTCATCCTCCTCCTCCTCATCCTCCTCCTCCTCCCCCTCCTCCTCCTCCTCCTCCTCCTCCTCCTCCTCCTCCTCCTCCTCCTCCTCCTCCTCCTCCTCGGCGCGGGGGCTTCTGTGGAGGACTTCGGGAGGGATCCCAGCTCGGGCCTTGCCCTCTCTGTGCCCCCAGCGCGGGGGGGGGGCGCTAGGGGCCTCCAGCTGTTTTTCTTCTTCGCCTCGGCAGGAAGATCGACCCCGCTCCTCTGTATCTTTCGTCTGTCGCTTTGTTTCTCGAGCCGTCGGGGGCGCCGCGCCGCATCTCTGCAGTTTTCAGGTTGTCGTGGAAGATGCGGCGCGGGTCCTGACGGCAAGTTCCAGGCCTTGGACCAAGGCCACCTCCCCTGCCCACGTCTATCTTAGAGCGCTCGGGGAGCTGGGACGGTCGGCCACTTCTGCCAGGAATGTTGTGCTCGCTTCCGGGGAAGTCTTGGACTTGCTCAGGATCTCTCCCACGGCGGTTGCACGGCTTGTTGCCGACGCTGCTCGCGACATGTCTGACGTTCGTGAGTTCGAGGCTCGCGAGGGACCCTCGGGTGGGGCCTGGCCGATGCTCAGGGCTCCGCTTTCTGAGGTCTGGACCACGGGTCATGACAGCGCCGTCATGGCTTCAGTTTCGGGCACCTGCTGGACCCAGGCCCGTCCGCGCAGGCACCAGTTCTCAGACACGAATTGTTGCAGATTCTGCAAGGGCGGTCACGCTCTTTCACCAGCGGTTCGGTTGTCCAGCTTGGGATGCGGATCGCCGAGAATTCGGATCGCCCCAGCCTCAGCCGCCGCCCTTGCCGTGCAAGAGTCAGGGCTTGGCCCAGCGCATTCTGCTGCCGGTAATGATCCTTCCCTGTCCTCGAGACCTGGCCCCTCTGCACCGCGACTCTGAGAGCCAGATAATGTGGATAAGGAGGCCAGGCGACGGACGGCTTCACCGACGGACCGTCCCTCTTCCCTCGGAAGCCTCATCTTCGAACCTCGGAGGCGGAATGGGCTGTGATGATGGTGGGCGACGGGGGGCGGATGATCTTGGCCTGCTTCGGGCCAGTGCCTTGGGAGTTGGGCCCCGAGCAGCTGGCCAGAGATGGGAAGTATTACGCCTTTGCCATGCATCCGCGTGTTGCTGAGTGTCCGTTTGAGGCTTAGTCCGATTGCGCTGTCACGATTGCGTGCGCGTTGGACCGGCATTCGGCCACGTCGGCCAGAGACCTTCAGGCCAATTTGTCGTGCACGTTTTTCGGGACCTTCGACGACGGGGAGCAGGTCAACAGAACCAAGGCCCACGCGTCTGAAGCCGACGTCCAGGCTGGCCGCACTACCCCTTGGGAGCGCAAGGCCAGCGCGGTGGCCGACACCCTCGCCCAGAGAGGGGCGGCCATGCATCCTAATGTGTGGCCAGCCGCCAAGGAACTGGCGAGTCTCGCGCGAGCATGGGGAAGGAGCTCGGTAGGTGGGCTGGCAAGGTACTCTTCTGTCGGCGATGGAGTGGCGGGATGCGCATGGGCTCCCAGAGCGCTCGAGCGCCCCGAGGGGCCAGGTCGCCCCGCCTCCCCCGCCGTCGCTCTCGCTCCGTCTCCGTGGTGTGCTTGCCATGCAGGCTGAGGCGCCAACCGATAAGGAGCTACTGCTGATTGCCCAGCACTTCCAGCACCAGATTCGAGTCGCCAGAGTTGTCGGTGCTCAGGGGGATCGCGTGGTCGATGCCCCTAGGCTGCTCTGCCCCACTTCGCGCAGAGCGTTCGCGTGGGGAGGAGTGCGTGCCCTGCTGCAGCCCTGTAAAGGAGCGGGGGCGGGTACTGGGCTGAAGCAGCAGCGAATGCGCATTTTCGATGGCCTCTTCCGTCCGGTCTCCACCCGCGCTGTTTTTTTTCTCTAGGAGGTTCTTGCCCACGTCTGGGGAGAGGGACAATCCTGGCCAGGTTCGGTCTCGAGTCGGGCGGTCTTGCACAGTGGACCGCCGTTGCCGCCACCGTATGCTCCGAGCAGCTTGGGCACGAGGCTCAGTTGGCGCGATCCTCTAATTCTTCGGGCTAGCGGGCTTTCGACTGCTAGTCTTGCTTCCATTCCATGCCATTCCTGCTCTTCACCCCTCTCCCCCTTTCCGTTTCTTCCCTGCGCTTGTTTATTTCTTCTTGCTGTTGCTGTTGCTGCTGCTGTTGCTGCTCCTCCTCCTCCTCCTCCTCCTCCTCCTCCTCCTCCTCCTCCTCTCCTCCTCATCCTTCTCCTCCTCCTCCTCCTCCTCCTCCTCCTCCTTCTCCTCCTCCCCCTCCTCCTCTCCTCCGCCTCCTCCTCCTCCTCCTCCTCCTTCTCCTCCTCCTCCTCCTTCCCCCTCCTCCCCCTTTCAGGATGCGTGCTGGTCCTCCTCCCCCTCCTCCCCCTCCTCCTCCCCACCCCCCCTCGTCCCCGAGCGCACGCGGGAACGCAAGCGGCAGGCGAGGAGGAGGAGGAGGAGGAGGAGGAGGAGGAGGAGGAGGAGGAGGAGGAGGAGGAGGAGAGGAGGAGGAGGAGGGGAGGAGGAGGGGGAGGAGGGAGGAGGAGGAGGAGGAGGAGGAGGAGGAGGAGGAGGAGGGGGGGAGGAGCAGGAGGAGGAGGAGGAGGAGGAGGAGGAGGAGGAGGAGGAGGAGGAGGCGGAAAGGGGGAAGGCGGAGAATGCGGGTAAGGCGGTGAAGACAGAGGAGGAGAAGGAGGAAGAGGAGGAGGAGGACAAGAAGGATGAGGATGGGGAAAGAGGAAGAGGGGGGGGGGAATGGGGGAGCCAGGGCAAGATGAGGGCGATGATGATGATGATGATGAGGAGGAGGAGGAGGAGGCGGAAAAGGCGGAGCAGGACGGGGGGGCGTGGAGATGGGTAAGGAGGGGGGGAAGAGGAAGAGGACAATATTGGTGCGCTCGCGCCATACCTGACACCACTACCCCTCCCCATCCGTTACCATGGAGTTGAGCCACCTCTATTCGCAGAGTCGACTGTCGAAGACAGCATGGATCATAAAAGGGCAACTTTTGTTGGAGATAGCTCAGGAGATCAAGAGACGGAGGGGCATAAAGGAGATGGAGGGGAGTCCGGAGAAGCATAAAGGAGGCGGAGGGGTGGAGGATCGAGGAGGAGCGGTGACGGACGGGGCAGGAGGTCGGATTTAGGACGGCGACAAGGCAGACAAGGACGCACTGGGAGGCAGGAGGCAATGTGGCAATGTAGAAAGAACACAAAGAATTCAGAAGCGTCGTTCCGTGGGATGGAGGCTAGGTGGAAACCTTCAAAGGTGGCAAACGTTGCCACGAGAGGTGCGTTGGTGTTGCTGCAGGAGAACAATCAGGGCCAGCGCCGCGGCGACAGCATCGTTCCCTTGGGCGCAGGCGTCATGTACATCAGTAGATGTGGCCCACGTTGTGGCCCGAACGCAACTTCGACAGGGCAAACAACGGTCTGAAAGTTATACCCCGGATTGAGAACCACATGTGGGCAATCTTGTGCAATCTTGCGTGTGAAGCATACCCGGGACAGGTAGGAGGCATTAATCAGTATCAGGGGAGAGCGGAGGGATGTATTCACATGTTGTGGATGTGGTGGGGGAGGAGGAGGAGGAGGAGGAGGAGGAGGAGCAGGAGGAGGAGGAGGGGGAGGAAGAGGGGGGGGGGACGCCGGGGCAGCTCTGGTCCGCAGTGCCAGAGGAGAGGCAGGTGCGTGGCTACTACGTCCGCGGGGAAAGGAGCACCTGCTCGGCCTCGCCGATTTCATCGTCTGCCGTCGGCGCAGCCTCCTGGTCGCAGACTCTGTGGCGTGCGGCGGAGCACCGTGCGCGCGCCGAGCGACCACCATGGGAGCGCTCTGCGGACGCGTGTCCCAACAACGGTGTGGCGTCTACGCCGCGCGCTGCCGCACAGGTTCTGGCTTCGTGCGCCGCAGCAGCTGGCGCTTAGACGTCCTCGCAGCGTGATTGCGAGATGTTCCCAGACATGCTCGCGTCGTGATAAAATCACGATGGAAAGTTCTTGGCCGTTTTCGGCCTTTGGGCGCCTGCGCCGGGCTCTAGGACCGGCAAACAACGGCTCGGGATTGGATGAAAAACCGGCCCCAGGGAAATGGTCGGGATTTGGGGACCGCGTGGAAAATCAGGACGTAGGAAGACGATGCAGGCCCACCGCTGACAGGGCAGCACGTCCCACTTGGGGCCTCTGGTTGCAGGTGTCACCGTCGTCGAGGCTTGCAGCCGCCGACGAAGCCACAGCGAGTGAGCCAGAGAAGCACCGCTGTTGACCAGGTCCATGAGACAGGCGGCTGGATGGGCCGCGAGCCCCAGGCGTTGCGGCCGGCCAGGATCTCAGGGGAGAGGGCCCTTGTCTCCCACCTCTTCGAACTTCCTGCTCCTCGGAAATCGATCGGGTCGATCTGCCTAGTCCAGCCGTGGCAGCGGCGGCTCTCCAGGACGAGCAGGGGCGCCCACCGACGAGCCGCGAGCCCCAGCCGATTCCGCGCGAGCAGCGGCGCCCACTGGCGAGCGGGGGGCCGCTAGCCAGCCCGGGGCCGAACGCCGCGCTGCAGCGCGGCGTGGCTACCATGCTTCTGGGCAGCGCGGGCGCCCGGCCGAGGCCGTGGCGGACGACCTGCCTGGCCTTCAGAGGGCGCATCATCAGAATCGGCATCATCAGCATCAGCATTAGTATCAGCATCATCAGCATCCTCGTCATCGCCATCCGCATTGCCATGGTGATTATCATCAGCGGCATCAGCATCAGCATCAGCAACATCAGCAGCAGCAGCAGCAGCAGCAGCAGCAGCAGCTGCATCAGCATCAACATCAGCATCATCAGCATCACCATCCTCATCATCAGCATCGGCATCAGCATCAGCATCAGCATCATCATCAGCAGCATCATCATCAGCATCATCATCAGCATCATCATCGTCATCGTCATCGTCGTCGTCGTCATCATGAGGAGAGGGAGGATGAGGAGGAGGAGGTGGAGAAGGCGGATGAGTAGGAGGGGGAGGAGAGGCAGGATGGAGGGGCAAGTCCGGCTGCTGCTCTTCGCCTATAGGACCGGCGTCGCCAGAGGCTTGGTTGCCGCCGCGGTGGCGGGGTCGGCCGCGGCGGCTGCCGCCGCGATGGTGGCCGCCCCCTGGGCCAGCGGGGGCGGTCGTCGAGCAGGAGGGGGGGAGGTGGACGAGGGGGATGAGGCAAGCTAGGCGCGCTCTCGCCTGATCTGACATCATTTCCCTCGTTCCCATCCCTTCCCATGGCGGCGGTCATTTTCCATTATCCACGGGCGCGTGTCATGGCCGACCTGCGACTCCCACAGGGAGACCACTTCGTGGCATGTGCAATCGGCACATTGGGGGAGCTGCGTGCACAGGAGGAGGCGGGAGGACAAGGGTGAGGACGAACAGCGGCAGTAACAGGAATTGAAGCGGAAGGGTAGGGAAGAAAATGAGGACCCAGGGAAGGCGGAGGAAGGACAATTTTTTGGGCCACAGCGATAGGGAACGACGCGGAGTCAGAAAAATAGCCTCGTTGGGGCGAGAAGAACAGCAGCCAGAACTGGAGAAGAAATAGCAGGAGAAACAGGAGGACCAGGGAAAGGCGGAGTAGCTGAAATGAGGGGGGACCGCAATGAAACTAGACTCGCATCTAGAAAAGTGGCCCGCGCTGGGGCGAGCACGCCATTCTGAACGACGGGAGCAAAGCGCCGATCCGAAAGTAAGGCCCACGCTGCAACGGGAGCAGCATTTTGAAACACCGGAAACAGCCTGTTCGCAACAAACCATAAGGAATCACATGTTTTGAAATCCAGTGTGTGTGTGTAAAAAAAAAAAAAAAGCACGCGGAAGGGTGGCGGGCCACTTGTTTTATCTCGTTCGGGGGGGAGGGGAGAAGTATTCACACCTATGACTCTGCATCGGAGGAGGAGGGGGCAGAGGAGGAAGAGGAAAGGGGTCTACGATCCAGCAGAAGAGCAGCGACAAGAGGGCGTGGAGAGGAAAGATGGGGTGGAGAAGAAGAGGAGAGAAGGAGGAGTAGGAGGAGGAGGCAGGATGAGGAGGAATGCCGTTCGCGGGAACTCTGCCCCCCGCACTTGCCGCTGGCGACGCGCCCCGCCAGCGCAGCCGCCCTCGGAGGCCCGCCGGCGTCAGCGCGCCTCCGCGCCATGGGAGGCGGGCGGCGCGCGCACCACGAGAGGAAGATCAACCGCGGCTAGAACAGCATCCACCAGAGGGTGAAAATCTGGGAGAGGGTGATTCGCCGCGACTGCAAGATCAACCACTAGCTGTGGAATTTCAGGGGAGACCTACCGGCAAAAATGCCGGGAACGCACACGCAGAAAGGAGGAGTACGTGCAGTGGCCGACATGGGACACAAGCTAGATCCGACGACATCGCTCTCGTCGCCACGGCCGCCTTCAGCACATGCGACGCAAAACGCGACACCAAGCGCGAAACTGAGTGCCGCAAATATGTGATCGTAGAGGTACCTTCCCTTGGCGCAGTCAGGCCCCCGGACGACGCGGCCATCCGGAACTGTGATGGCCGCTCGCGCTGCCCCGGGACTGCGGCCACGCAGGCTACGATCCAGCACTGCAGTGACATCCGGAACGTTGAACACCACGAGTTGGCAGCCGACGAGTCCGCTTCGGACTTTGGGGGGGCACGGAGTGAACGTGCCCTCGGGGCCAGCTGACGTGCTCCTCAGCTACTTCCTCCCCACTGTGGGGCCTGCGCTTAGTGGGCCCTGGAAACGACAGGGCCGTTTTTTTACCGGTTCCGTTTTGCCGTCTTTTTGCCGGTTCCGACGCCGTTTTTTTACCGGTTCCGTCGCCGTTTTTTGACCGGTTCTGGCTCCGGTTCCAATCCTGGAGCCGTTTTTGTTGCCGTTTCCGGTCGCCGTTTTTTTGCCGTTTCCATGTTCAAGGGACGTTTGGAAACGCTGAAAAAACGGCCCTGCCGTTTCCGGGGCCCGCTAAGGCACGGAGCGAGCGTGCCCTCGGGGCCGGCTGACGTGCTCCTCGGCTGCTTCCTCCCCGCTGGGGGGGCCTGCGCACCCCCTGCCTCCGCAGGCGCCTCCACCCGAGCTAGACCCAGGCGTGACCCCCAACAACAGCATTGAGATGCTCGGCATCGCTCGGACGTGTGCATTTTTTCTCGGCGGGAGCCATCGAGGACCATCCTGGACCATCGAGCAAAAACACACACACACACACACGAAACCGAAACATGCTCAGGAAATGAACGTCCGAGCGATGGCAAGGATGGGCATTCCCCCACGCAGCGGCGCCCCACACCTAGCCCTACGGGCTACGTCGCGCAGGCTCCTCCCATCGCCGCCACGATCGGACCCGACCGAACGACGAGGGCCGCCAGCAGAGGTTCCACGGCAAGAAGCAGAGCCTCCAGTGGCAGTGCCTGAGTTTCGAGGGCCACCAGGTGAGTTTCGACGGTAAAATGAACAGCTCGGACGATCACCAGCTGAGCTTCCAGGGCCACCAGCAGAGCTTCAACGGCAAGAAGCAGAACCTCAAGACCAACCAGCTGCGAGGGCCACGAGCAGAGCTACGACGGCAAGAGGCAGTACTGAGAGGACCACCAGCTCAGACTCAAGAGCCACCAGCTGAGCTTGGCTAGCCACGCGCAGATCAACGAAGGACACAGGCTGAGTTCCCAGGACCACGCGCAGAGTTTCGAGGGCCACAAGCATGTTCACGACCACCGCCAGCCGAGCTACGAGGACGACGTGCAGAGCCTGGAGGACAATTGGCTGAGTCACGATAGCTACCAATCAGACTACGAGAGCCACCGGCACCGGCCTCCCTACCACCTGGCTGGGACAGCTACCTCGACCGTACCGCCGCGCGGCCCTGTACATGACGACGTGGAAGCTCCCGTGCGCCAGCTCAGCCGATACACCCCTCCGTAGTTGCCTCAAGAAGCCAGCTGAGCCACCGGGGCCACCAGCAGAACTAGGAGGACCACGAGCTGAGCTTGAGCTAGGAGGGCCACCAGCTGAACTACGAGGGTCGCAAACTGAGCTACCTCGGCCACCAGCTGAATTACGAGGGCCACCATCGGAGCTGCGAGGGCTACCAGCAGAGCTCCGAGGGCCACCTGCGCGACGAGGGCGAGGGCAGCCAGCTGAGCTACGACGGCGTCCAAAAGCTCCTACGAGATCTACAAGATCGCACCCATCTAACAGGACAAATGGCGTAGAGAACTCCAGCTGCGGATCGCCATAGAGACCGTCATCGAAGCGGTCCGCATCGCATACGACGGGTACAAAGAACGCATCGCCACTGCGCACCGCCGTATGACAGGCCTGCTTGCTGTCCTACAGGAGCCACCATGTGATCTTCGTGTGGCACCTCGCGATGAGGATGACGGCGAGATCGGCCAGCCGTAAGCCCGACCACGCTGGACACAACTACATGTTTCAGCCCGGGTGCTCATACGCTACCTTGTCCACAGCGTTGCTGGCAATGCACGCCGCGTGTAGCGCTACATGCAAGGTGCTGCGTCGTTCGTCTAGGCCACGGCGCCCCCTGAGTGGCCCCGCCGCTCGACCCGTTCCTTCTGCTCTTGTACGGTGCGCCTCGGGCTGCAGGAAGGCTGCGCCGCGTCCTTCTCATCCCCTTCCCATCCTCCGAAACGGCAGCCAGGTCCTCCGGCGGTGCCAGACGGCTTCTGCGGCCGCGACGCGGGAGCGGACAACGGATCGGTTCCGCAGCGTTGTGGTGTGTATATATATATATATGTGTATAGAGTGAGGGAGAGAGCGAGAGAGAGAGAGAGAGAGAGAAACAAAAAAGAGAGAGAGAACCAACAAAAGAGGAATGAGGAGAAAGAGGGGGAAGAGGAAAGAAAGAAAAGTGGGATGGGGGGGGGCAGGGGGACCGGGAAAAGGAGGAAAGGAAGGGGGAAGAGGAGGATATAGATATGGATAAGGACCGGCAGTGGAACGGAGACGGGAATTGCATCAGGTGGAGGAGGATAGGAGGAGGAGGACGACGACCACGACGAAGAGGAAGAGAATACCAAGAAGGGGGAAGAAGAAAAGGAGGATGAAGGGGGCGAAGGGGGGCAGAAGGACGGGGGCGAGGTCGCGGGGAAGAAGGAGAGCAGGCAATGTCGAACTTGATTGAGAAACATAGAGAGAGAGAGAGAGGGAAAGAGAGAGAGAGAGAATATATATATATATATATATAAAAAGAGAGAGAGAGAGAGAGAGAGAGAGAGAGAGGAGGATCTACACAGAGGAATAGGAGGAGGCAGGGCGGGGGGGAGGGGAACGACTGGCAGCAGCAGCAGCAATCAGCAGCAATAGCAGGGGCAGGAGGAGCAGACACACGAGGAGCACGGGCACGAAGGGGAACGCCTGTGCGAGGAGACCCCTTCTGTGAGCTCTGAAGGCGACGGATGCAAGTCGGTCGCCTCTTCATGCGCGAGCCCGCGCCATGCCACGGCCAGGCTCCCAGCTGACCGGTTGTCGTGGGGATGCCCGTGCCATACCACGGCGTCCTCCCAACCAGATCCATGTACCCCAGAATCCAAAATAAATTGCGGGGGTCACATTTGGGGGGGGGGTCTGATTTGAGCTGTCTTGGAGGGTTCGGGGGGGTCTGGGCAAAGGGCCGCCCTTTCATGGATGGTCTGGGGGGGTCTAAGACTTCTCGTCTGGGAGGGCTGTGACCCCCTCCCTTTTATTACGAAATCTGGGGTACCCCTCGTTCCTTCAGTTGCCCCGATACGCCCGTGCCCAAAAACCACGCGCGTCGTGTCCAAGACGTCTGGGTCGAGCACGCTGCGCGTTGGCTCGGCACGTGCTGGCCCGTGTGTTGCCGAACGCGCCGCGCCAGACCTGCGCCTCGATCCACGTGCTGAGGTCCGTGTCACCACGCCACGGGTTGCGTGTTGCGTGTCGGGACAGCGGAGCTCCTCCCTCCGTTCCCTCCTGCCCTCCCTCCCTTTTCTGTTGCATCTTCGGGGGACCTCGCCTGTTCCCCAAATTGGTGTCTTTTGGGGGGCCCGACGCGTGCTCGATGCGGACTCGACGCGGGTTTGGCGTGGATTCGACGCGGATTCGACACGGATTCGACACGGATCCGACGCGTCCGACATGGATTCGACACGGATTCGACGCGGACAGGGCCGCGACGGGACAGACAAGGTCCCCCGAGGATGCAACATAACTCCTTTTTCGCCTCGTTCATCCTCCTGGCAAGAGGGGCGGGGGTGGGGCGGCGACGCCGCGCCCGACCGCATGCGCAAGCAGCTGCGCGTGGGTGCGGCGGGCAGGGCCCGCTCGTGGCCAGGGCCCTGGCCAGGTCCACGCGGCTCGGCACAGAGAGCGGGAGGGCGAAGACGGCGAGTCGCGAGGCCCTTGGCAGCCGCCCCAGACGCAGCGCGCCGCGGAAGACGACAACGCCATTTCGCGGCGCAGCATGGCCGAATCCGTAGCTCACCAGCTCATGGACGCCGAGGGCGACAACATCGAGCCCCATCCAGATGCGGGCCCACCAGGCGGGACGCCACCCAGCAGGGGCAACGGCGCCGAGGCGGACGGCCATGGGGCGGCGCCTCATCTGTTCATCGGCAGCGAGGACAGCATGATGGGGAACGACTCGCCCGAGAACGGCTCACTCTACGCGGACAGCTCTGGCGCCGGTGCCGGCAAAGTCGCCGCGAGCGCGGCGCAGGCGGCGGCAGCGGCGGCCATGACGGCCGCAGCGGCACGGACGGCGCAGGCAGAAACCGAGGCGGCAGCGGAGGGCGGCGCACGAGATGAGGACGCCGCCGTTCCAGCAGCTGCAGCCGCCGCCGCCGCCGCCGCTTGTGGCCTTCGGCGAAGGCGGTCCCGCGCCGGTTTTCTGAGCGACCTGCGACCGCTGCGCGGACGGCCCCCGCACGGCGGGACTCCGCGCGGAGCGCAGCGGCGAAGCCTCCCACCGCCAGGGGGGCGTCCCCCGTGCGTGGAGGCTGCCCGAGGGGCGATGGCGCGAGGCCCGAGCCGCGGCGCCTGGACGGCGGCGGGGGGCCGCGGAGCAGGTCGCCGAGGGCGGCGAGGCGGGCGGCGAGGCCAGCGGCTGTGGCAGCTTGCCGCCCGCTGCTGGCACTCTGCCTCCTCGGGCGCGGGCCGAGAGCGCCCCGCGAGCTCTCCTTTCTCCCTGTCCCCTCCCGCCCTGGGGCCGTCGCCGCCCTGGATGCGGTTCCTTTTCTGCGGTGTGCTGGCCTGTTGGCTCGGCGCGCCGTCTCCGCGTTGGCCGCGCGCGGCCTGGGGCCTCGGCCCGTGTCGTGTGGGCGGGCCAGCCTTGGGCGCCCTTCCTCGTCGGCTGGATTCGGCGTGGAATGCTGGGCGGCGCTGGCTTGGGCCTGCGACGGCCCTGGGGCGCCGCTGTGGGCCCTGTGGGGGCCTTGGGCCCCCATCTCGTCCGCGCGCGGCTTGAGACCCAGCAGGGCAGGCGAGCCCCGCTCTCGACCCCTGCCAGCTTGCCCCCGATCGCCATCGTTATCGCCATCCTTCTCCCCATCATCGTCGCAGTAGCCCCGGCAAGCCTGCACGGGAGGGAGGAGGCCACGGCGGGAATGGCACGGCGGCGGTTGCAACGATGGCGCTGGCTCTCGGCGCCGCTCCGGCGGCGGCGGCGGCGGCGGCTGCAGGCGGCGGCCCAGGCCCAGCGGCGGTGCCACCCATGGGGGCCCCCCAGCCGGAGGGTGGAGCAGCCCCCGTCTATGCCACGGGCAGGCTGCGGCTCGGGCAGGGGAGGGGGGCACTCCCTGCTGCGCGAGATGCGCGTGCCTGGCAGGCTCGGCCGGGAATATGAAGTTTACGACGGGGGCGTTCGTTACGGTCCTCCTCCTCCTCCTCCTCCTCCTCCTCCTTCTCCTCCTCCTCCTCCTCCTCCAGTGTGCCCGGGAGGCCTCACGCCTAGGAGGATTCCTCATCTGATGGATGCGCTGGTGATACCCATGGCCAATCCACGACTGGAGGTCTGCCAGCTTTCAGACCTTCGGTTCCTTGTCCGTTGGCTCCTTGCTCCAATGTCCTCACCGTAGCCACGGAGTGCTGCCCACGATCGCAGAGCTCGCGCCAAGAGGCGGTTACCAACAGGACCGGGCGAGGGAAGCACACCCTTCGCGCGCGGTGGATTTGGAGCGGCCCGAGCTGACCTGGCGCGAAGGCTGATGAGCCCAATGCGAAGCGAAGGCCGCGTTGCATCAGCGGCGGGGCTGCAGGACGAAACGAGCCAGTTTCGGTGCCAGGGACCCGCAAAGCACGGGCCCCAACAGATCACGTACTGTCGGTGCTGCCCTCGCGCTTTTGCCATGACGGCGCGTTGGGTTTGAGCGGCGTTGCCCGTTGCCCCTGCAGGCATAGACGCCGCGGGGCAGAAGGGGGTGCGGTGGCCAAAGGGCGCTTCGTGCACCACCCGTGAATTTGAATGGGCTTGCAGGCGTCGTCACCACTGTCATCCTCGTCGCCTGGCTCATCATCAGCATCCTCTTCCTCGTTTCCCTCCCTCCCTTTCCTCCGTCCCCCTATCCGCCTTGTTCCCCACAGCCCTCCTCCGCCCCCTCTTCCTCTCGTCTTGCCCCACCTGCCCCCTCCCGTCCCTTTGCCGCCTGTCCTCCTGCCACTCCGTTTCGTCCGTCCCTTCCCCCGCCTCCGGTCCCTCCTCCTCTTCCCGCATCACGCCCGCTCGCCCGAATTTCTCCCCCCCCCTCCCCCACCTCTCCCTCCCCGCCGCCGCCTCCAGCCCCCTTCGTGCTCGGCCGCCGAGCCCCGATCGGCTGCCCCAGGCGGCCCCGCAGACGCCGCGCTGCGTGCAGGCGCTGCTGCTGCCGTCCGCGCCGAGCCGGGGCCGCCTGCCACGGCTGGCGCCGCGCTCCGCGACCAGGCGGCACCGGCACCCGCCGCGCGAGCCTGAGCAGCCGCAGGCTCGCTCCGTTGGTCACCACCCACCAAGCCACCCCAACCCAACCCGAAGGCCTCAAATTGACCTCCATTTCCAGTGGGGGGGGGGTCGGGGAACATCGAGAAAGCACGTATGGAACCCGTACCCCCCCAACCCGAAATTCGGGTCTTCGGGTTGGGTTGGGGTGGTCTGGTAGGTAGTCAGTTGGCGTCGGGAGGGGGTGGGCGAGGGCGGTAGTCCCCAGCTCCTCCCTATGCCCCCCGCTCTGGGCATGTCCCGCGCCCCCCCCGGTGCCATCCCGTGCCCCTCCCGCCACTCCATTTGTCTCTCCCACCCTGCGCCCCGCTCCCAAGGTCGCTTCTTCTTCTCTCCTCGCTGCGCCGCTCGCGTCCTCCCCTGCCTTCCTCCTGGTATCCCCTCTATTCGCCCTCCCTGCCAGCCTGCCGCCGTTGCCGCTGCCGCTGCCGCCGTTGCTGCCGATGCCATGTCCTCTTTCCGTACGTGCGCATGCTCCTCATATCCCTCTTGCCGTTACGCCCCTCATGCTCCTCGCCGCTGTCGCCCTCCCTGTCCTCATGCCTCCCATGTGCAGGTGCAGAGATAGTCACTTGAAGTGAGCGGGCTTGCCGAGCAGATGTCGCTGCGCTCCTTCGCATGCTTTGCGCGTCTGCGCCAGCGCACGATTCAGATCTCTTGCGCACTTCGTCCGATCGTACCATCTGCACTGCCTCGCGCGCGTCGCTCTCCCTGCGTTCGCGGCACCCGAGCTTGGAGGGCATCGCGTGCGCGGCACCCCCGAGCCTGGAGGGCATCTTCGACGGCCGCGAGGTGACGCTCCCAGAGACTTTCCGCGAGACCATTGACGACATCGTGCTGAGACTGCGCTCCAAGCTGCCGCAGCAGCACGATCAGGCTGCGTCTCGGGAGCGGGCGAGCTGACGTGTGTTTTAGGAGACAGGTCGTGCATCGCGTCAGTGGCACAATGAGGTCCACAATTTGTATGCAAGCGACGAGACGTCGAGGCGGAGGAGCCGCGTTTCGTCGAGCCAGCGGATCGTCTCAGGCTAGCGTGAGATAAGCGGGCACCCCCATTCAGCCGAAAGGGCCGCGGTGGGCGGTCCGCCTCGGGGTACCCCTCAGCTGATTGTCGCGGATCCGGCGTCGGCTCGAGCAAGATACGTCAGACAAGGGCCCAAGGGGAACATATTGTCTCCAGAAGATTAGGCGCGCCATGACCGTCGACGCGCGGGGAGGACGGGTCGATGGGGGGAGGAGGAGGAGGAGGAGGAGGAGGAGGAGGAGGAGGAGGAGGAGGGAGGAGGAGGAGGAGGAGGAGGAGGAGGAGGAGGAGGAGGAGGAGGGAGGAGGAGGAGGAGGAGAGGAGGAGGAGGAGGAGGAGGGAGGGGAGGGAGGAGGAGGAGGAGGAGGAGGAGGAGGAGGAGGAGGAGGAGGAGGAGGAGGAGGAGGAGGAGGAGGAGGAGGAGGAGGGAAGATGAGCAGGAGAGCCAGCTTCGCGAGAATGTGCCATGAGTGCAGGCCGGTGGCCTCGCACCGGTCTGTGTGTTCTGCCCTCCGGTCGCTCGCTTGCGTAATGCGTAGAAGTGCTTTCCGGTGCCCACTGCTACAGTGCCGTTTTTAATGCATGCTCCGAGTGCGGATTATGTATTAAACATGCAGGGATCTAGTACTGAAAACAACGATGAGTTCATGCATACATTTATTCATAGATTCATCATGTATTAAACATCCCATGGTTTGAAAAACCCATGTGTTAAAACTGCCCTGTAGTTCCACTGCGGACGCTCCATCGTTGATTCATGTCGCGCGTCTTCAGCATGCGGAGGCGTTTTCCAGCAGGTGCGAAGTTGCAACGACCTCTTCTAGCAGTCCTCTCCCTCCGCGTTTCGCATGCGTCCCTCGCAGGTCCCCTCAACGTTCCCCCCTCGTTCCCGGCAGCCCTGGCATGTCCTCGTTCCCTGCCAGTGCCCTTTGAGTATCCCTCCTTTGCATCTGCGCGGACGAAATGGGTACTGAAAGAATGGGTACAATGCACAACAGCGGATCTGTTTCATTTTGAACAGGGCTCGCTGTCCGCGCCGCCGCGGAATGTGTCCATTCGAGACAGGAGGCCGCCTGCACAACAGCGGCCGCTGTTGGTTTGGGACAACACTTGCTGTTGGGCATTGTACCCATTTTTTCTGTACCCATTTCGGGCGTCCAAATTGCAGGATCTCAGGTATCTGTCCTTCTAATGTCCCTTTGGGCGCGAAGCGTGAGATGCTGCATATAGGCCGTGGCATCGGTTCCTCCGGCCGGAGGTTCATGACCACGAGATGCCGCCCCTGGTGCCGAGGATCCTGTGGAATCACCTCAGCGGCTTCGTGAAGGCTCTCCCCGCAGGGCTCGTGAAAGCGAAGAGGCGAGGAGCTGGACGATCCCCCAACGGGCACATGCGCGTCACGTCACAGAGCAAGAGCGGCTTCTGACGGTACCCATAACACCGAGTCAGGCATCTCATAGATGAGCACAGGGATAAGAGAGAAGGGAGGAGCATGGGTGGGGATGGAATAGGATAATGGAGGAGGGAGAGGGGGAGGGCTGGAAAAGGAAAGGAGAAGGACAAGTTGGAGGAGGGGGAGGAGAGCAGCAGGAGGAGGAGGAGGAGAAGGAGGAGAAGGAGCAGCAGCAGCAGCAGCAGCAGCAGCAGCAGCAGCAGCGGGAGCAGACAGGAACGAGAGGAGGTGGAGGTGGGGCGGATGAGGAGGGCATCGCAGGGTGGAGGCGGAGCCGGCCCCGCCCGTTCTCGGTCTTCTCCTCGGGCCGAGGCGCAAGAGAGGGGCCCGTTCGACCAGCTGCCCAGCGACCAGTGGCTGACATTGCGCCTCGATGGGTGTAGCTGGGGCACGCTCCTCGACACCATCAGGCCCTGTGTTGGAAGGAGGGAAGGAGGCGGAGGAGAAGATGTTGCCTGCCTGATCTGCTCCGCAATAAGCACGAGTGCGGCCCCGACGAAAATGCCCCCCAACCCCCCGCCTGAGGTCTTGGGGGGGCCTCCTGCAAAACGGCGCGCAGCTGAAACCTCAACCACTGCGACCCGCGCGATGCTGAAGTAGTTACACCGCCGCTTAGGAGAGAAACTGCCTTGCATCCTTCCAGCGATGTGTGAGGAATCCGACAAGGTATGATCAGCAAGCTCAACGAAGAGTCGGCCTCGACAAGTCGCCCTCGACGAGTCGGGCCTCCACAAGTCGCCCCCGCGTGCCAGGACCTTCTGGGCCAGCGCCCCGACGCTTCCAAGATCTGCAGGCTCCCGCTGCTGAAGCAGGCCGTGCGGCATGCCGAGAAGACAATCCGCATCCAGATGGCAGCCGCCCTCCTCAGCCACGCGCAGAGGGGGGTGAGGGGAGGGGGGAGGGCTTCTTAGAAGCACTCCTGCTTCTTAGAAGGCGCGGGCCTTATCTATAGATGTAATGCCGGCGCCGTCTAAGAAGTAGCCTCCTTCTAAGAAGCCCTCCCCCCTCCCTCCACCCCCGTGTGCGCGCCGCCAACCTCCGGCAGAAGAACTGGAGGACCGTGCTGGAGTTTCCTTGCAGCTCCCCCGCGGGCCTCGGAGGCCGGCGGCCCCGCACGGATCTCCCGCTGCTGGACGCGCTGCCCGCTGCTTCGGGAGATAGCTTATACCGCGCCGTTTTCAATACACGCTCCGCGTGCGGGTCACGTGTTAAACATGCAGGGATTCAGTATAAAACAAACCACGATGAGTTCATGCATCCATTCATTCCTACATTCATCATGTATGAAAAAGTCATATATTTTAACAAACATCCCATGTCTTAAAAACTGCCCTGTGCTCCTGACGATTTTCCTGGCCGATTTGGGCCGCGCCCCAGACGGGTGCGGTCACACATTCTGGAGCTCTCGCGTGCGTTCACCATGGCGTAGCTGCACAGCTCGCACGTCGACTTACTACGGCAGCTCGCAGTGGAGCGGGCCACGGAACGGAGAGCACCGAGAACCACCGCTTGGTCAGGCATCTCGCTCCTGGCCGGAGCTGCGTGTAGTTTTCGGGTCGGGCGAAAGGGGGGGATTGGGAAAGGGGGGGTTACGAAATTTGCTGCATGCAGCTGATTTCGGCCTCCCCGAGGGGCCCATTCCTCGATACATGGCCGCTCCCGGCGCCAGGAGGCGCAGGGAAAATCAGCTACGCGAGCTGATTCTCAAACCCCCCCTTTGCTATCCCCCCCTTTCGCCCGAACCGAAGTTTGCCACCTCCGACGCTCAGGGGCGCGCAACGCTTGACCCAGGCAAGATGATCGAGGCACTTTGGAGTCAGTGGAGCAAAGGGTTCACCCAGAAAGAGACGGACGGCTCCGTGAGGGACCGCTGGCTTGACAAGGACATGAACCACACCCCGGGCGACTATCACACGCACCTCTCCGTGCAGGCAGTTCCCCGCAAGTTTTTCAGCCAGCCCATCCGATCCACAGGTTCCAGCTATCCAGGACCGGACGGCGTCCTGTTTAAAGCAGAGAGGAAGGCGGAGTATTTGGCAACGGGTGCCTTTCAAGACGCATTTACTGCAATGACCAGCGATGCTGGGCTGCAG